TGGAAAGTGAGAAAGCAAGCCACTAGGTCCAGAACTCAAACCACAGTCGGCCATGTGGGAGTCCAGCACCTTCAACCACCATGTCACCTGCCAGCCCCCCTGCCTTGTTTCGTTAAATTTTGGGTTTTCTTTTCTGGTTTCTTTTTTTTTTTTAGGTTTTTGCCATCGAGTATGTGTGATCTCTGGGAAAAGACAGAGAAGGAAAGTGAGAACCCAGCCCACAAGGGGACGGCAACACTGTAATCCCTTTTCCTCCATTCTCAGGATTTGGGGCATGTGTGCACAAGTGCCCAGTGTGCATTTTTATTTATTTATTTTTTTGGAGAGGTTTTTGGTATAGGGTGCGTGCGCTCGCCAGACAGAGAGACAGAAAGCGAGAAATCACCCCCCAGTGGGGATGGCCATGCCACAATCCCTTCTCCTCCATTCTCCTCTTGAGATCTTGGGCACAGACGCATGTGTGCCTCCTGTAAGTTTAAGTCACTGGGTCTGGGACTCGAATTGCTACTGACTACATGAGAGTCCAGTGACATAGCCATTACGCCAATTGCTGGTCCCTATTTTATGTCAGTTTTATTCTCAGCCCAGCCAGGACCTTAAGAGTGTGAAGGTGGGGCCGGCAGTTGGCGTGGTGGTTAAGGCACTAGACTCCCACATGGCTCACCAGGGTTCAAGTCCCAGACCTGGCAGCCTGTTTTCTTACTTTCTCTCTTTGTATCTCTCTGGTTAAATTAAAAATATATAAATAAAATTAAATAAAATAATTCCTTTTCTTTCTTTCTTTTTTCTTTCTTTTTTCTTTTTTTTTGAGAGGTTTTTGCTATAGGGTACATGCACTTGCCAGAAAGTTAGAGACAGAGAGACAGAAAGTGAGAAATCACCCCTGGGAGGATGGCCACGCTGCAATCCCTTCTCCATTCTCCTCTCAGGATCTTGGGTATATATGCACATGCGCCCGGAATGAGTTTAAGCCACTGGGTCCAGGACTTGAACCGCAGTCGACTACACGTGTGTCCAGCAACATAGCCATTATGTCAACCGCTGGTCTCAAGAACCTGCGGATTCCAGTATGATTTTCAAGACACCTTCACAGGGTCTTGAACCACAGGTCAGACATGTATGAATCCAGCACCTTAACCACCACATCATCTGTTGGCCCCAAACTTTGGATTTTCTTATCTGTGTATGACCCAACCTGGATTTGTGTTTGGAGTGAGAGAGACCAAGCATTAATTTAGCGTCTTCTGTATGCTAAATTCTTTTCTGAGATTTGACATAGGGCGCACGTGCTAGCCGGAGAAAGGGAGAGTGAGAGGGGAAGGGGGAGCAAGGAAGAACCCTCCACATCGCCCCCCATGCCACACCACGGTCCCTTCTCCATTTCTTCATCCTGTTGAGGTGTGGGGCACACAGGTACATGTGCCCAGTGTGCGTTTTAAGCCATTGAAACTGGGTTTGGCCCGGTCAGCCATCTGGGATCTGGCTCCCTTAACCACTAGGCCTTGCAACCAGTCCTGTTCTTTTTTTTTTTTTTCTTTTTTTTTTTTTTTTTGGGGGGTTTTTTTTTAAAGGGGCTTTGGTT